CAATCAGACACAACACCTACCTAAAGCCATCCAGCTGTGTGATGTCGAACTTGAAGTCTTTAAATATAGGGCCAGTGTCAGGCATGAGAGCCTTGAGCCTGGTCTCGACCTCCTTGAACCGGTCTTCATCAGCCTTAGCCACAAGAGATAAGGCTGTTCCTTGGTTGGTACCTCGGGCTGTCCTGCCTACTCGGTGGATGTAGCTGTCCACATTCAGGGGAAAGTCAAAGTTGATGATGTTAGACACAAACTGGAAGTCAATGCCTCTTGAAACTCCTGATTCCTTGTCTTTGTTGCGCTGCCTGTTGGGGATGGGGACAGGGGGAGGATTAGTAGAAGGAATAGCAACAAAAATCTAAACCCTTGCACAAACTACAATCATAAGTATAATGATGACAATTAATAAAAATGAGAAATTCACTAAACTTCAGAAATGAAATCTATTGTAGTAAGTCTACAATAATCAAAACTTTTTGATAAAGAAATTCTTATTAAGAACTTGCCTTTTACTTGTCCCACCCTGGCTCGTTCCTGCTGCTGATGCTTCTAAATTGTGCTCATCTGAGGCAATGATAATGTCGTACTTGCCACTATTGAACTGCTCTATGATGTGGCATCGGGAGGCGACAGGCATTTCTGAGTTCAATACACATGAGCTGATGTCAAAGTGAGCCAGGTACATTCTCAGCCTAAGAAAATTAAAAAATAAATTAATAAGGATATCAATGCCGACGGGTATGACGTGTACGTACGTGCTATGCCCACCAAGAGTACTTGTTTGATTGTTTTTACACATAGATGGCAACACTTGTACTAAATCACCAATGAGCCAGTTATGAGTAATGCCCGCCTCGCCCATTTACCCTTTTCTTTGATATATGAAACATTTTATGTTATCTTATTTTGCTGTTACTAATGTTAAAAAACATTATAATAATTATAATATTTATGATAAAAATAACACCATCGCTTTCATAGCACTAGTGAAAAATACGTTTTTCCCCACCATTTCAAATCAGGCACTAGCAGAGCCATCTATGGGCAGGCATTTCACGAAAAACATAGAAAATAAGCACAGCATTTTACCCATTTTTTGTTTATTTTGGCAGCATTGGGTTAAAAGATTCATTAAATACATCAAGTAATGAAACATTAACAGAGATATAGTGAGAAAATCATTTACACACCTTGCATTGTGTTTGTGAAGAAATTAAATAAATAAATAAATAAATAAATAAATAAATAAATAAATATAAATAAAATAAATAAATAAATAAATACATAAATAAATATATATAATAAAACTGCTGATTTGTCTATAATTATTGTGTAATATCAGGCTTTCATCATACCAAATCCCCACCACAGTTCAAAGACTAATCCATCTGTCCTTTTTGGAGCAATACAAATCCACACTTGCCTGTATCCCTTGTCGACACTATTGACAAAGATGATGGTCTTGCCACGGATCATATTCAGACGGAAGAGTGCATTGACAAGGACAACCTTATCAAATGCAGACAGCTGTGAATGGAACAGAGCTGAGCTTATTACAGTGCACCCTAATGTAACTGGGTACTATATAAAATTTTATATATCAAAATTCTGCACTCTAACTTCAGAAACTCATCATGCTTCAGTTCCTTATTTCTTTTCCTTCTACAAAATGGTTATAATCAAGCAAATATCCTTCATCCAAGCATACATCCACATCAAATTTTGAAAAAGCTCCATCACAGACCTTCCCATTCTTCTACTAGATATCTTGAGCATACTCTAAACATGGCAACTACCAGCTTCCTCTCCTTGATAACCATTCAATGATCCCCTACTGCATAATAAGCTTCTCCTTCCTCTTACCACCTCACCCACCTTAATGACATACTGCGTGAGTTGTTCCGCAGTTGGCAAGGGCGGCTCCTCCAGCCGCAGAATGACAGGATTGTGCAGGATGAGGGTCTTCAGCTTCTTCACATCATCAAACATGGTTGCACTCGTTACAAATGACTGGAAGATCTTTGGGAATTTCCTTTGCAAACGGAGCCAAAAATAAATTTAAAAAAATATATATATTAAATAATACACACGCACACACATACAAAGAGACACACACACATATACAAAGAGAGAGACAGACAGACAGACACACACACACACACACACACACACACACACACACACACACACACACACACACACACACACACACACAATGATAAAACATCTGTATATTCACTTTAACCCTACTGTAGTTTTGCATCCAAGTTATGTAGCATGTTTTCTGTTTATCTAATCAGTGTTTGGTGGCAAAAAGAAAAAAAACTTTCTTTGGTTCGATTAACAACTACTAGATGGTGTAGCCACTGCCCATAAGAAGCACTTTCAAAGGTATCAACAATTTTGCAAAGATTTTTATCTAATTTAGCTACCATACATAGACATTTAACCCCTTGCCGCCGGGTGACGCCGATCGGCGTGTAAACAAATCGCTTGAAAGCTGGCGTGCGGCCAAACCAGCCGGCGGCGCGCCAAAGCGCGGCGAGCCAGTGATTTGGGCTGACGCCCCGTACTCCGGTGCTCAAAGTCGGTGCGCCGCCTTTGTTTGCCAGAGCGTAGAGTTTTTTTTTTCTTTTGTACACCCGGCGTCATTGGGTTAAAGATTGAATCGTTTTCACCTTTCACAAAATATGCAGCTATAAGTGAAAATTATTGTGTTAAAAGGAAGGGGACATACTGCCTGACCTCCAAAAGTATTGCCATTTTGATAAACAAACAATTCCAGGAAATTGTATTTAAAAAATGATAGCTAATACTACATGTTTTGTTATCACATGTTTGAAGAAAATGAAAGATAAAATGGTTTAAGTAGTTTCCATAAAATTGATACTAATACATTTGTTGGTTATTTATGTTCTACCAATCACACTCTTTCTTACAAACGACCTAGGGTTTTAATCTCATTCATAAAAATGCTATTTACTCTATGTTTACACCATAGAAGCTATCAGATGTACAAAAGTGGGACCCAGCAAGTGTGCTGAAATATAATTCCACAGCTGTACTCGTATAAGTATATAAATATATATTTATTTATATATATTTATATAATCCTTTATTTACCTACATATACATACATTCACAATAATTCAGATCTACATCAATATTCAAATCTGTACTTGTAGTCCTTACTTCAGTATTTCCTGAATTTCTTTCACATGGTCAAAAGCGAACATGAGGTCAGCCTCGTCAATTACCAGCATCTTCAGAGAATCCTTGACCATAAGGTTCCCTTCATTCAGGTGGGCAAGAATTCTCATAGGAGTTCCAATCACGATGTCAGGCTTATCTGCGGAGAAACGTCAAAGGAACTAATATACTGTACTGTGTTGTATTTTGTTCATTTCTATCCGACTTCAAAATACACTCAACAAAATAATAACACACATGTTGTCATTTGGCCTACATGTATGACCACCACTTAAGGAAAAACAGTAACATAAAATCAATATCCACAAATGAAATCAAATAATTGTCAAATGTGACACACCAATTCAAAAGTCTCCATTCAGTTTAAATAATAGATGATTCACTGTTTCTTTTGCTCAGACATCATCTCTCTAGCTAGTACATAACTCAATACAATAATAAAAATATTTTGTTATTTGTCCTTTTTTAACTTTCTCATAATATTCAATTTTTGGCAGTCACAGCAGCAAGGCAGCAAGGAATAGGATCTTGAGCATGGAAATAGCATCCTCCCTGGAGCTAGCATTCTTCCAGTCATGGTTCAGAGATGGTACATTACATAATTGGAAATAATGCAAAAGCCAGTTCCTAAATGCCTACTGAGTCTGATCACCCTCCAAATGCCTGTGCACTTATGGCCAGTCATTCTAGTCACCTTGACCTTTAGCAGAAATCCTCATGATAGCAAATTTCTGTCACCATGACCTTCAGCCAAATTTTCCTATGTTTATGTAACCTATCCCTCAAGTTAATTTTTTTCATCATGAGATGGTTACATCATCCAAATTGTAGGATAATATAAAAGATCACGCATGTTCAAAGATATTATCAGACCAATTGGCCTAAAATGTTGATTTAATCTCTCTTCTTTGACATAAGCATGAACATTTTAATGTACTTTAGTCTCTTGATTGTAGCACATTAATATGAAGACATCGATGCTTCTGTCAGGGATGCAAGATTAAAGCAGAAAACATTTTGTAGATGCATTTTTGGGTTTTGGTCTGAAAGCATCTTTGGACACACATGTCCACATATAACTAAATACAAATCTAACAGCCACCATAAAGCTGGCAACTCACCAACAAGAAGGGGACGTTGAGCCTCAAGTGGGACTGTGGGAGACACATCTATGAAGCGAACTTCTCGTTTGCACAATGTGGTTAACTGAGTCAGGTTTTCTTTGATCTGCTTGCATAGTTCTTTGCTTGGAGCAAGCATAATAGCTTGTACCATCTGCATATGGAATACAAAGTATGATATATCACTGCTATCAAAAGCAGAAGCTTCACAGAGTGGTTTAGGTAACAAGACACTCTCCCTTATAATAACACATTTCAGTGATTAATACTAAGCTCTTAAATAGAAAGACAGCTATACAACCTATAAATTTGGTCTCACCTGTTCTGTGGCTGAACGCTTCCACTCCAAAATCTTGTGAATTGTTGGTATGACGAAAGCCCCTGTCTTGCCAGAGCCAGTGCGAGCCTTAGCAAGGACATCCTTCCCCTCGAGCACATATGGAATGGCCTTCTCCTGAATCAAAGTTGGCTCACCCCATCTCAGCCTTGCAATTGCCTGGATAAGAATATGACACATGGTTAAATATTCAGAGAAAAAGATCAAGACCTATTCCTCTTTGAAGCAGCTTATTGTCAGGTCAAGGAAGTATGCTTGCACAGGCAGGCAGGCAGGCAAGCACACAGACACATTATATTCACATTCACATTCACATTCACACACACACATACACATACACATACACATACACATACACATTTATACATTCACACACACACACACACACACACACACACACACACACACACACACACACACACACACACACACACACACACACACACACACACACACACACACACGTATATATAGATTAAATTAGAGAAGGTCAAGTGCAAGCTATATTTCAGAGGAAATTATACAGTCTCATTCTAATGGGTGTAATTAACTGCAGAAAATGGAGGTGTGAATTCCCGTAGATTTTACCAAATAATGGGCTGGATTCCCAGTGAGTTTATCAAAAGCTGGCAGGCATGTCTGCAGAGTTTCCTTAGAAAATTATAAGCATTTTTGGTGCAGACTTTATTCATTCTTCTTCTTTGAACCTGTTTTACCCTGAAATTTCCCTGATATACTTCATGCCCTCTCCTGCTATTGGGACCTATCACTTAAAATTACTGGCTGCGACTGCAACAGAAATGATCACCAGATTCATTCTCATCACACGAGAATAAATCTGACAATATAAACAAAGTCATAAACAATGCAGTTATTGCTGCTCTGGCCTCTTACTTATCATGAAATGACAAAAATACCCACTATTTATCACTGCTACATATCCACAACACTAACACAGCCAGAGTTTTTAATGTTGCATTTCCTATAAGTTGAAATAAAGTGCTAATAAAGGAGAGGGGGTACATCGGGGCTTGCCCCCCCTCTAGAGAAATAGAAGGTAGGAAAGGTTAGGTTTTGATTTTTGGTTCGCATGATACCCCAAATGTTTTAGTATGTGCAAATATATAAAAAAAAATCTATAAAAAATCATCAGGGTCAATATGTACTTGGAAGTAGTGGCAGAGTTGGGTAAGAAAGCCTATATTAAATGACTGAATGATACACCAAGCCAAAGTTCCACTATCTGCAAGTGCTACCCAAGGGTAGCACTCTATCGGGGGCTCCGCCCCCGGACCCCCTTCACTGGGGTATGTCACATATATAACTAGGTTTGACAGTACTGCATGAGCATTGGTGTCTGTCTGTCTTGAAAAATAACCAAATGTACTCATTTGTTGAGATGGGGAGGTTGAAATACCCTAGTGAAGGGGGTCCGGGGGCGGAGCCCCCGATAGGGGGTTAGGTTAGGTTGCATACATAACAGAACAGAGAAAACCACATTTTTAACTAAAATATTCATCTTGTTTACATTGTGAGGATAAATTCTACACATAACTTATTAACCCAATGCCGACGGGAATGAAGTGTATGTGTGCTATGCACATTGTGTTTATAATAAAAATAACACCATCAATATTCATAGCACTAGTAAAAAATACATTTTTCCCACCAATTCAAAGCAGGTCTACTAACTGACTCCTTTGTGGCTAGCAGAGCCATCTATGTACAGAGGCATTTCACAATAAATATAGAAAATGAGCACAGCATTTTTCCTACTTTTTATTCATTCTCCATGGCAGCATTGGGTTAATGCAATATACCAAGTACTTCATTCATGTATTACTATGCACTTGTCAAAATGATATTTTAGCATTTGAGTTTATTTTCCACATTTATGCTTTTAATGTGTTCTTTCCATGTTAGCATACTTCCTTTACATGTTTTAAAATTCAATTATGCAGTTCTTCACAATAATCTTCTATGCATGTGCATTTTCACAACTGGGACTTTTGACAGCAATGGGAGACTCCATTCCTTGAAGAGGAAATGTTTCATTTTCAGTGTTGCATTAATTCTGGGCAGTTCTTTAGCACGCTCCCCATGCAGCCACTGGGACCATGCAGTCAACCTCCCCATTTCAACAAATGAGTACATTTGGTTATTTTTCAAGACAGACAGACACCAATGCTCATGCAGTACTGTCAAACCTAGTTATATATGTGACATTTGTCAAAACTGAATCATATCTACCAGATTTATATTGAAAGGTCAATATGTAGTACAAGCTAGTGGCAGAGTTGAGTAATAAATCCTACACAAAAAGATAGAACAATACAAACCAAGACAAAGTTCTTTTATTGCAATATGTGTGCAAATGCATCCCAAGGTTGCTATACATAAAAGAAAAGAGAAGATCCCCCAATTTTGGCTAAGTCGCTCATCTTGTTTACATTGCAAGGGTGAATACTAGATGCATATACTACAACAGGGGGCCAGGGGACATAGCCCCCTGACTAGGCATATATATTACCATGGGGTTCCAGGAAGCAGAGCCCCCTGACTAGGGATTATATACCATGGTGTTAAGTTAGGTTGGATGTTGGGTTAGGACGTTTTGGGAAAATATATATAAATATGTATTTCGGAGTAGCAAAAAATGAATACCGAGAGCATGAAGAGCAAAACAATACGATTATATAAATATAAGTAAAACTGAGCGATCACCTCTGGTAACGGAAATATCAAAGGTAGAAAATACGATCTTGTTTGTTTTTTTCCAAGTCCACAAACATCAACAACAGCACGTGCATTCGTGTGTGCGTGTGTAAACAGTAGTATGCCATCTATATATATTTATCAATGATACAATATTCCTATATAATATTCCTAAAACCTTTGTACGCTAAAATACATATTTTATCCATTTTATCCATATAATTTTTAGTTTCCTATTGCAATGCTAAACATAATATGTATCTACATGGCGTGATTTTTTTTCCAGACACGTCGTATTTGCCAGGGGGTGTGGCCGTACGGCCCGGCGGTCTATTTGACACTTCTGTGAAACATGGCCTCGGTGAAGGACGATCAAAGCTGTGCTAAAAAATCTTGTCTAGATTGTGACACTGGCCTTCTCAATTACTCATACAAAGTAAAAGGAAATCCAGATTTCGGTTTTGAATCTCTGGTCCATCACGGTGTACTGAACGATACACTGCAGTGCAAAAAGTGTAGTGAATCGTGTCGGCTTTACCGGGATTTAAAGATTTTTAAGTGCCAGAAACTTGTCAGTGTCAACAAAAAGAAACTGAAAAGGTGTAACTTCCAACAATCAATTTACAAAAACATGTGGCTACACAATAGCCATTTAGACATAGAATCTGATTTGGTATTTGTTAATATATATTTACGAGACTGTTTTCCTATCAATTTGTGAAAGACGAAATAATAGGTATAAGCGATAAAACAATCTGCGACTGGTCCTCCTTTTGCAAAGATGTATTACTTTTTTGGTGTAAAAGTAGTGGAAAGGAAAAAATTGGTGGACACGGCAAAACAGTCAAAATAGATGAGTCAAAATTTGGCAAAAGGAAACATAACAAAGGAAGGATTATTGATGGTCAGTGGGTGTTTGGCGGCCTGTGTCGGGAAACGAAAGAGTATTTTGCGGTGCAAGTAGAGAAACGGGACTCACAAACACTACTGCAAATCATTAAAGAAAAAATCCATGAACAGTCACTAATTATAAGCGATTGTTGGAAAGCTTATGACTGCCTAAAGGACGAAGGGTTCAAACATTTAAAAGTGAATCACAAATATAACTTTGTTGACCCCGACACCGGTGCCCACACGAATACCGTTGAGCGGAACTGGAGGACCTTAAAGGAAAAGGTGCCACAGTACTGGAGGAGATCATACCATTTTGAGGGCTACCTGGCCAAAGCGGCCTTCCAGCAACAATATCCGGACAACAGCAAATGGCTGCATCCTTTTCTCCTGGCTGTGGCTGAGCTCTTTCCTCCAGACCAGTAAAGGTAAATCTTGGGGTCCAGGGGGATAATCGTAAATATAATGCGCAATAGGTAAATCTTCAAATGGGGGTCTGGGGGCGGAGCCCCCGATAGGGAAATACCCCAGTGAAGGGGGTCCGGGGGCGGAGCCCCCGATAGGGAAATACCCCAGTGAAGGGGGTACGAGGGCAGAGCCCCCGATAGAGAAATAATCCAGATCCCCTGTGGTAATCGTACAATACGTCCTAACCAATAAACCAACCTAACCTAACCCTGTGGGATTTATACACTACGATCTATTTATTCCCTAGCCACCCCCGTGCTATTAAATGCGCCTAGCCAGGGGGCTACGCCCCCTGGACCCCCTAGTAATATATAAACCTAGCCTAACCTAACCTAACCTAGCCTAGCCTAACCTAACCTAACCTAGCCTAACCTAGCCTAGCCTAACCTAACCTAGCCTAATTATACGCGCCTAGCCAGGGGCGTGGACCCCCGTAGTACTATATGCGCCTAGCCAGGGGGCTTCGCCCCCTGGACCCCCGTGGTTTTAATCAAATACGATCTATATATTCCCTAGCCAAGGGGCTCTGCCCTCTGAACCCCCAGGGTAAAACCACATACCTTTATTTAGCGAAAGACCGAACTTTTCTTGGCTTCCGTCTATGGTCCGAGTTCCTTGGTTTCTAATCACTTTTTTCGACATTTGGGGCACTTATTGGGCTCATGTATCAGGCTGAGATAGACACTAATATCTATTGGTTCTATATATCCACTATATGGCTTTAAAAATGACCCAGAATCGACGCAACACACCTAAAATGTGACACTTCCCACCGGTGTTTCGGGACGGATGGCGGTGGACGGACTGTCAAATCTCCCGGTGGAAAAGCGCACATGCGCACAGGGATATTGTGCAAAATAGTGTAAATAATTACCAAAACACGTAAAAGAAGTATAATAAAAGTAAAAGAATTCATTAAATGCATGGATTCGGAAAAACAGACACTGGTAATTACAAAATAGTCGTTTTCACAAGCGCGTAGTAATACATGGACTACTTGATAGATCGCAATAATGAGTTACGCGTCACTTTTGTTTTGGTCCTAGCAAGGTAAACATGGATGGGGACTTAGTCTCAGAGCGGGGCCATGCAGAGTCTATTTTTGTCATTTCCCGGTAAATATGAGGCCGCTGCAGATTTAGATGTATTGATTCCTACTCTATTTTTGATGCTCTACAAGATGGCAATGTCCATTTTGCTCTATCTGCGTGCGTCGCTCTCGGTAACATTAACCCTTTTTGGGGCTATTTCATGCATTATTGCATTATATTTATTACATTTAAGCCTGTTTTACCCCATAATTTCCCTGATATACTTCATGCCCTCCCCTACTATCAGGACTTAACAAATCAAGCTTGTTGGCTGAATATGGATTTCCGACAACCAAATACAACTATAGTATCATACAACTATAGTATACCTATATTCGTCACCGATTATCATCAAATAAACACGATAAGGCGAAATACATTTTTAGAAAGAATTACCACGTATTGTTTAATAACCAGGGGGGTCTTGTTTTAGACCATAATTTCCTTGATATACTTCATGCCCTCCCCTGCTATCAGGACTATCAAATCAAGATTGTCAATGGAGATGATGATCATATCTCCTCAGCAATTCATTTGCACAAGGAACAATGCCTAGAATCGTGGAAAGCAGTAGATTTCATGCAGAAAAATATCTAAATTGTTTCGAAAGTAACTCCTCATCTTCCCTTTTCTTTTACGTATAGCACCCTTGGGTAGCATTTGCACACATATTGCCATAGAAGAATTTGTCTTGATTTATAGTGTTCTATCATTTCGTGTAGGTTTTATTACCCAACTCTCCCACTACCTTACACTACATATTGACCTACGTTGGCCAGTTCCTCATTGATGTAAGGTCACTCTCCTTCCTTCAAAGATCTCAACTTCAGAACTGCACCGTATTTACAGGCTTGCATACCTCCAGAATCCTGTCGTCGAGGCCCATTTCATGAAACTGTAGAGTATTTTCATCCTCTTCTTGTTTAACTTCACTCATCTCCTGAGACTTGTCCATGGTGGCCGTTTGTTTACATCTGTCGCCCCACGTGCGGCGGCGCAGCGGAGGCGACGGTTCTTCTGCGCTCTCCTGCTGCGGCCCTAAAATCTCATGGATATAAAAAAAGAGAAAAAATATATATATTCATATATATATATATATATATATATATATATATATATATATATATATATATATATATATTTGCGTGTGTGCGTGCGTGCGTGCGTGCGTGCGTGCGTGCTTGTGTGTGTGTGTGTGTGTGTGTGTGTGTGTGTGTGTGTGTGTGTGTGTGTGTGTGTGTGTGTGTGTGTGTGTGTGTGTGTGTGTGTGTGTGTTTTATATATACATATATATTTATTTATATATATTTACATACAGACAGTTTTAGTATTTTAAGAAGAGCCTGCTGATATTTCTCCATCTACTTAAAGTATCAGTTTGAATGAATGAAAAAAAAACACATTGTGTTTTCAATTTCAAGTTAGAGTTTTAAGTTTAGAGTTACAACTTTAGAGTTAGAAGTTTTCTCATTATAAATATGCATTATATGTATTCATATATTTCTCTCTATATGCGTTCTATAGAAATATAATATATAACACACACACACACACACACACACACACACACACACACACACACACACACACACACACACACACACACACACACAAACACATATATATATGCATATAATTTATGATATTTTTATAGCACGCATATAGAGAGAAATATATGTATATTTGTATATACATATATATATATTCATTTTCGCAAAGGCATTCGACAACGCCACTCACGGAATATTCGCAAAATTATGGAATCGGACAGGGGGAAAAGCAGGAGGACGGACCTAAAATTTTCTAACACACCGAAAAGAAATCCCAGATGGTGTTCTCTTTTTCTTCCGCGACTCAGTTGACAACAAGGGAGTGCCATAGGGAAGAGTTCTTGGACTCCTGCTGACCAGAATTATGACTGGGGACCCTGGCAAAGGTATCAAACACTCAGGAATACATAATTTGCAGGTGATACAAGGATAAGTCATAATAAACTTTGTTAGATATAGGTTTAACGTAAGGATGATCTAGATGCCATCTGCATCTGGGCAAGTGGAAACGGTCTAGTCCAACTGCAAATCTGAGACCGAGATCGTCATTTGCTGAGGGAGCAGACGAAAACTTGCCACCTAGTCCAATGAAATTAGAAGCGAGGGCAATCAACCCATTACCGCCTGGGAAAATGAATAAAAAATAGGGAAAATGATGTGCTCATTTTTTATATTTTTTGTGAAATGTCTCTACACATGTGGTTCTGCCTTACCTGATTTTACCTCTCCTTAAATTGGCGGGGAAATATATTCTTTACTAGGTGCTTTGAATATCGATGGTGTTATTTTTACTATAAACATTATAATTACTATAATGTTATGAACATTGGTAATAGCAAAATAAAATAACGTAAAACATTTTCGTAAATTAAAGAAAAGGGTAAACGGGCGAGACAGGCAGTACTCGTAATTGGCCCATTGGTGATTTAGTACAAGTGTAGCCATCTATGTGTAAAAACAATTAAACAAGTAAACTCACAGTGGGCATGGCATGGACGTCCGTGATATGCCCGTGAATGGGTTAAGGTAAGAATTCTCACAGACAAGGAATAATGTGCAATCGTACTGGGATAGGTGTTAGTAAAGAATATGCTTGATCAAAATTTCTTAACAAAAGAATAGATAACTGATTAAATTCTGTAATTGATAAAAAAAATTATGAAACACTTGTGCGTGTATATTTATATATGTGTGTGTGTGTGTTTGTGGTAAATATATCATCATTCATCATTTAAGAGCTAACGTCGGCAGGGGCGTATAGCCGCATCCACCCTTCGTTTAAACCAACGAGGGTCCCTCATGGCGATCCGCCAGGCAGGAGCCCGGCCCATCTCTAGCTCCTCATGACAGGTTTGATTGATCTTCCCAAGCCACGACTTTCTTGGTCGTCCCACAGGCTTCCTCCACCCAGGATTATCTCGAACAGAGACAACCTAGTGGGCAGGGTCATCCTGCGGGAATCAAGCCAAGTGGCCATATAGCCTGACTTGGCGATTGCGGATTGTGCAAATAACAGGTCCTGTGCCCCATGATCCGGTGCAAAGATCTGTTACAAAAGGCATCAAGATACATTCCAAAGCACAAGATAGCGTCCAGGTTTCATTACCATATAGTAAAACTGGCAGTATCAGGGCCTTGAAAACACGCAGCTTGGTCCTTCTGCACAGGTACCGGCAATCTCCAAATACTCTTGTCAAGAGATTTCATGACCCCTGCTGCCAGGACAATCTGTCTACTGACTTCCTGGTCTGACAGTCCAGAGTCATGGACAGCACTACCGAGGCATATAAAACTCTCTGTGACCTCGATGTTTTCACTGGAAGCACGTATCGACTGCACAGGGTCTCCTAGTAGGCCCCCAAAATCCTGGATCTTGGTCTTGGTCCAGGAGATCTCTTGCCCCAGGGGCTTCGCTTTGCTATATGCATCAAGAGTTTCCACTAGGGTTTCCAGAGATTCAGATAGAATGGCAACATCATCTGCAAAGTCAGGGTCTGTAACCTTAATATTGTCTAGAGTTGCTCCACAGTGACCTTGGACAGTATCCAGTCCGTGCAAGTGTTGAAGTGTTGGTGCAAGAACACAGCCTTGCCTCACACCTTAACTAACAGAGAAGAAGCTCGACAGGCCCCCGCCATACTTCACAGCACTTTCAGTGCCTGTATACAGGGTTGCTATTAATCCAGTGATCCTTGTTGGAATTCCTCTTAGCCTCAGGATCTCCCAGAGTGATTCGCGATGCACCGTATCAAACTCCTTGAGGTCAATGTAAGCTGCGAGCAGCCCACATCTGAACTCACGGCGGCGCTCTGCAATGACTCGAAGCGCCAGGATGCGGTCTATTGTGGACTTACCAGGAGTGAATCCAGATTGCTCTGGCCTCTGGTGCCTCAGCAGGTGGTTTCTGATACGTCTCAGTAGGATGTGCGGAAGTACCTTGCCTAGTATACGGAATAGTGTAATGCCTTGGTGATTGCTGCAGTCCCACCGATCCCCTTTCCCCTTCCAGGGAGGGATGACCACATCCTACAGCAGGTCAGGGGGAATGGTACCAGTCTGCCAGATGGCAGACAGGACAGCATGCAACCCACAAACACCTACTGTTTTACCACTCTTCAGCTTGGAAATCGACTTCCCCCTCCTGATCTTCACTGATGGGTGTGTCTGGCAGAGGAAGTTAATTGTTGTTGGATACAATTACTCAGCACAGCACAGCGCACCCACACCCCATCAGGATTTGAGATTATTTGGCCACTTGCTGAGCGGACTGCGGTCATCTGTGCGGAGGGCTTGGAGTTCAGGTTTCTCAGGGCTTAGTAGGCAGGACGAAGGTCATTTACTAGGAAATAGCTTTCGACCTCCTCTGCCAGATTCCTGACATGCTGTTCCTTATCTCTTCTCAACAGTGACCTAGTCCTGCACACCAGAGAACGGTGCAAGTTATGATCCCCTGACAATCGAGCCACATGACAGGTATCTGTGGCTTCCAGTGTCTCCTGCCAGATAGAATTCTGTCTTGCTCTTGGATGTTCACGAAATTGATTATTGGGCTGCATCAAGCGTTTCATGCTTGAAGGTGTCCCACAGAAAAACATCTCAACACCCAACCTCCCTCAATCTGTCCACATGCAGTACCCTAAGGTGTTCATTGGAGCGATGGGAGGTGTTAAAATGGACCTGGAGAGTAGCCACAACAAATCTATGATCAGTTCCACAGAACTCGGTGCTCTGATACACCCTGCAGTTTTGGAGCATCCTCTACCGATGTGGTCGATCTCCTTGGCCACACTACCCATATCACTGTACCGAGTCCAACGATGTGGGTCAGAACGCTGATACCAGGAGCCAGAAATCCTTAATTTCTGGGACTTAACAAAGTCACGGAAAAGGAGGCTATTCTCACTGCCAGCACCAGTTCCTGAGCCATGAGGACCGACAGACATCTCGTAGCCAGAATGACTGCAGCCAGATACCGCATTGGATCATGGGAAGTCAGGGGTCACTTGTGTCATGGGAGGTCAGGGGTCGCCTGTGTCATGGGAGGTCAGATGGTGGCAATGGCCACCATCTCCAGGGAGTAGCCATAGCCATCTCCAGCAGACTTCAACCCTCGGTCGTAGAGGTCACACCAGTCGATGAGCGTATTGTATTGAGACTGAAGCTTTCATTTGGCTTCATGTCTTTTATTGCTGTGTACGCTCTTATGGGTGTATATAAACTTTAGATGAAAGAGATGTTTTACACCAAAATTGCATCTGTGACAGACAGCTGTCCTCGGCGAGATATTCGTATTGTTCTGGGTGACTTCAGTGCTGTATCTGGCTGCAGTCATTCTGGCTACGAGATGTCTGTCGGTCCTCATGGCTCAGGAGCTGATGCTGGCAGCGAGAATAGCTTCCTTTTCCGTGATTTTGCTAGGTCCCAGAAATTGAGGATGTCTGGCTCCTGGTATCAGCGTTTTGACCCGCATCGCTGGACTTGGTACAGCAATACGGGTAGTGTGGCCAAGGAAATCGACCACATTCTCGTTAGCACTCGGTAGAGGATCCTCCAGAACTGCAGGGTGTATCGAAGCGCCGAGTTCTGTGGAACTGATCATAGATTAGTTGTGGCAAATTAGAAACCCCCATCGCCCAAATGAACACCCTAGGGTGTTTCATCTGGATAGACTGAGGGAGGACGAGTGTGCCTGGGGGTATGCCGAAGCTAACTCTGGTCGTCTCACAGCACTCGAGGGCCTGACAGACCCTGTTCTTATGTGGGATACTTTCATGCATGAAACACTTGACGCAGGTCAGGAATCCATTAGTGAGCGCCCAAGAGCAAGACTCCATCTCACAGGAGACACTGGAAGCCATAGATGCCTGTCGCATGGCTCCATTATAAGGGAATCGTAACTTGCACCGTTCTCTGGTACGCAAGACTAGAAGGGATAAGGAACAGTTTATCAGTAATCTTGCAGGAGGTTGAAAGCCATTTCTTAGTAAATGACCTTCGTCCTGCCTACCAAGCCCTGAGAAAGCTGAACTCCAAGCCCTCCTCACAGACTACTGCAGTCCGCTCAGCAAGTGGCCAGATAATCTCAGATCCTGATGGGGTGTGTGTGCATTGGGATGAGTATTTTGAGCAGTTGTATCAGGTTGATCCACTAGCAGTTAACTTGGATGCCGGTAATGTTGAGATTCCTCTGCCAGACCCGCCCATCAGCGAGGATCCACTCTCCCTGACTGAAGTCAAGGGGGCGATCTCTGAGCTAAAGAGTGGTAAAGCAGCAGGTGTTTGTGGCATCCCAGCTGAATTGTTAAAGGTGGAGAACCTATGGCAAGGGGCTTGCATGCAGTCCTGTCTGCCATGTGGCAGACCAGTACCATTCCCCCTGACCTGCTGAGGGGTGTGGTCATCCCTCTCTGGAAGGGGAAAGGGGATCGATGGGACTGCAGCAATCACCAAGGCATTACTACTACTACATATCAGAGACCACCTGCTGAGGCACCAAAGGCCGGAGTAATCTGGATTCACTCCTGGTAAGTCCACAATAGACCACATCCTAGCGCTTCGAGTCATTGTAGAGCGCCGTCGTGAGTTCGGGCGTGGGCTGCTCGCAGCCTACATCGACCTCAAGAAGGCGTTTGATACGGCGTATCGCGAATCACTGGGAGATCCTGAGGCTAAGAGGAATTCCAACAAGGATTGTTGGAGTAATAGCAACCCTGTATACAGACACTGAAAGTGCTGTAAAGTGTGGTGGAGACCTGTCAAGCTTCTTTCCTGTTAGTTTAGGCGTGAGGCAAGGCTGTATTCTTGCACCAACACTTTTCAACACTAGCATGGATTGGATACTGGGTAGAGCTACTAACCAGTCATTGTGGAGCAACTCTGGGCAATATCAAGGTTACGGACCTTGACTTTGCTGATGATGTTGCCATTCTCTCTGAATCTCTGGAAACCCTAGTGGCGGCTCTTGATGCATATAGCAAAGCGAAGCCCCTGGGGCTAGAGGTCTCCTGGACCAAGACTTAGACCCAGGATTTTGGGGGCCTACTAGGAGACCCTGTGCAGTCGGTACGCGCTTGCGGTGAAAACATCGAAGTCACAGAGAGCTTTATATACCTCGGTAGTGTAGTTCATGACTCTGGGCTGTCAGACCAGGAAATCATGAAATCTCTCGACAAGAGTATTTGGAGATGCTGGTACCTGTGCAGAAGGACCAAGCTACGTGTTTTCAAGGCCCTAATACTTCCAGTTTTACTCTATGGTAATGAAACCTGGACGCTATCTTGTGCTCTGGAATCTCGTCTTGATGCCTTTTGTAACAGATCCTTGCGCTGGATCATGGGGTACAATTGGCGGAACCATGTGTCCAACCAACGGCTACACCGTGAGACCGGTACAGGACCTGCTACTTGCACAATCCGTGATCGCCAACTCGGGCTATACGGCCACTTGGCTCGATTCTCGCAGGATGATCCTGCCCATCAGGTTGTCTCTGTCCGTGACAACCCTGGGTGGAGGAGGCCTGTGGGACGACCGAGAAGGTAATGATAATAATAATAATAATGATAATAGTAATAATAATGATAATAATAATAATGATAATAACAATAATAATAATGATAATAA